GTGGAGTTCATTGATCCTTTGGGGCATCGTGAGAATCATCTCACCAGTTTTGGATTGTGGGATCTTAGCCCACTCTTGCTTCAAAACTTGGAGTAGATCGCTCTTCAAAGTTGGTTTTTTGGTTGTTTCTTGACTTGCCGGTCGAGTATGGCCCAGAGGTTTTCGATGGGGTTCATGTCAGGAGATTGGCTAGGCCATGGCAACTTCTGGATACCATTTTCTTCCTGCCACTTTTGGGTGTTTCTAGCAGTGTGACACGGTGCTCCATCTTCCTGGAACAACGTTGTGTTCTTGTCCACGAAACCCGAGGAATAAAGTGGCAAGAGTCCTTCCTCCAATATTTCGACGTATTTTGCAAAATTTTTGTTGTCAACACACTCCACTAAGCTCGATCTCCCACCAACCCAAACAGCTCCCCAAACCACCATGCTTCACAGTTGACTGCAATCTGTTGAGCCAAAACTCTTGGTGAGGCATCCGAAAATTGAGCGAATCTTGATTAGTCTGAGAACAATACGGTCTTCCAAAAGTCCAGAGGCTTGGTCATCATATCACTTGCCCACTTCTTTCGTCTGACTATGTTAGCAGGTCTTAATAAGGGCTTCCGTCTAGCTGCTCTGCAACAAAAACCCAATCTGTGAGAATCCATTGAACAAATTTCGGGCTCATCCCACCAACTTTGGCCACTTCTGCAGTCGTTAATCTGGAATCCATTTCGATGCTCCTCTTGACAGGCCTTTTTGTCCTCTCCAATGAACCAGGACGACCCGGACACTGCTCAGTTGTTTCCTTGCTGTGTTTCCTGAACTGCACGATGATTCTGTTGACTGTCGAATGCGGGATTCCCAAATTCTGCGAAATTTGCCGCTGACTTATTCCATCATCTGCTTGACCAACTATCCTTCCTCTAACAAAATCTGACAATTCGAGAGAACCTTGAGTTCTAGGCATGTTGTAGCATGTTTATATAGTGCTCTGTGAATACAAATTAGTTAGCGTAAATCAGTTAAATGACGAAAAATTATGTGTCTATTTACTTGGGACCACTCAGTGTATATAGCAAGATCAGGCTTAATTCTAGAGCAAGGAGTTTTATTTTTTACGTAGTTATTTTATAGCTTATTTACACATAATATTTACTTGTGATCATTCATTGTATATTCTGTAATGGTATATAATAAATGTGTTGGATTTACAAAATGTGAAAGAACAATCACTTGATTTATAATTAAATATTCTTTAAGGATTATGACTGCAAACTCTTTTTGGCTTTAAACTATGTTTCTTTGTAAAAAATGTATTTGATGCTTTGGTGATTTGGTGAGCTAAACAGATTAAATGTTATGGTGTAATAGAATTTCCGATTTCTCGACATATATTTAATACATACATGTGAATCATTACAAAGTGACTTAACTTTATTCTAGTACAAATCATTACAAATTCGAAATAATGTATTTTACCAAAAAGGTGTATGTCTGTGTGTTACAAGACTTTCTAATTTCGGGCACTTACTTTTAATACTGTTGACCTTTTATTCTGCCAGTTTTAAGAGGAGACTGGTTGTTTGATCACATGACGACCTCTCCTACCCTTTGTATTTCCTAACAACCAAAGTTTATCAACACCACTTAAGTTGGACTTCTTAGGCAGTATTAGTGTGAGTTAGAAATCTGTGCAAAATAATCATTGCAGACGTTTTGATTTACACATAAAGAAAGTTCGTTAATACGTTTTACTCTAACACCACAAAGGTTTGTGCATAAAGTTCCAAACAAGCAAGAAACATGCTCTAGACAAAAATCTGTGAAGATATCTATACAAAAGGAAGAATAGTAATAGTTAAACATAACTATTTATATAGATCCTATAAACTTTAGTGGAACAAATCAACTTATAAAGCTAAACATAAAATTATTGTATATTATTTTGAGGTTTTAAATAAGCACCCTTTTAAGGATGATAATTGTAAAATGTGAGTTATGAAAATTAAATACAGAAGCGAGCATTATACTACAGTGTGTTAAATGTGTACTAAATCATTAAAACCTAATTAGCCATACTAACTGTCTCATTCAATATTATAAAAATGAAACATTAGCTGTAATAATATTTTTCAGCAGAGTGTTAAATGTGTTAGTAACACTATCTGCGTAATGAAGTTAACTATATAAATGAAACCTATAAACATAAGTTGAGACAAGTTGAAATCTGTATGCAATCTTATGGAAGTATAATAACACTGTGCATCTACAGAAACACAATCCACCTTTGTAACGTAAATAAATTTATAAATGAAATCTAAAGTAAAATCAAATTTTTTGTCAAGATCACTTTAATTGTTATGCTAAACCAATAAAAAATACAAATAATAGATTTACATTTTGAGGACATAATTAATTCTAAACATTGATGATGTAATCATAAGTTCAGACACCTTATGATGGAACTATCTGCTTATAGAAACACCATCTGCCCTACAGCATTAACATTAGTAACACAATTTGCCATCCGCCTATAAGACCTTATTTAGTAACATAATCCACTTAGTAACAATATATACCTTTGAAAAACACGTATAATACAGTTAAAATATAAATAAAAACTATAAATATGACTTAAGACAAGTTGAAATCTATATGCCCTATCTACTAACACAAGCACTAACTTTAGTAACACCATCCATATAAAGAATTTTAGTAGCACCGTCCGCCTATAGAAACACTATCTGCCTTGTTAAGACACACACACAATTCATCCATAGGACCTAAGTAACATCATCCACCTATATAACTTTAGTAACACTGTCCACCAATAGAACATTGGTAACACTGTCCACCTATAGTAACAGACCCCCTGGTATCGAAATAAAAAATTACCTCTTTCTAAGACAGCCATGTCCTCTGGTACCACCATGTGAAACTATGACTCCTAGCATCACGCTCTCTGTTGAGAACACTCAAACTATGATGTCACGTGACATCTTTAGCAACTTGCTCTCTTGCAGCAAACAACTTCCATTGTCAAGTGTCATGACGGCTTAGCAGTGTGCCTTTAGCAACGCGCCCTATGGTTCCACTTTGTAGAACTATGACGTCATACATTTTACCCCCTCCTCTCCCCTTAGGCACCCAATCAACGCGTGCGTCTCGAGTCATGTCCTATCTACTGACGCAAAGTGAGCCAATTTTCCAGCTTTAACCTATCCATCTTTCGATAAACATATGATCTTTTGCCTTTAATTATTTCAGCCTATAGATACAGGGCGGAACAAAGTTTTGAAATGATATTTATGACCCTTCAGTTAACACGTAACCAAATCTGTTAATCTTAAAGACTTGGTTTCAAGTGTGAAATTAAGAATGAGTAAAAAGACATCTGCAGTAACGCGTGACATCTAGCGGTAGTCGTTAGTTCTAATTTCTGTTTTTATCTTTAAACATTAGCATTATGAGCTAAAAATTTCGATTATTTTTCGTCCACAAACAAGGTGCATTATATTTCTATACAACACTCCGTTTATTGATTTATTCTGCCTTTTATCTTTACAGATAAAAATCTTATTTAGAGCACATTCGAACAGTTCTATTAAACTCATTTCACCCTTGTCACTTTTGGTTCCATAGTTTTCACTGGAGAGTAACTTACCTTTTATATCCATGCGACCAAATGGAACGATCCACAGAGGGCAACCTTCCTTATCATGTCCTACTAACCCTCCAGGAAAATATCGCTTTATAACCTAAACCAACAAGGAAACACTTTTAGTTTCATCATTCTTCCGGAGAGAAAAAAAAAGGTTCAAACATAGTAATGCTATATCCAGTTTAGGTTTTCTGGTGTTTTTAAAAAGAGAATACGAGTAAAGTGTATTACTTAGTTTTAAAAAGACAATGTAGTTTCTTTGTTAAGGCAAAAAGTTTCTGTGTCTTGTGAAAGATAAAACTCAAGCGTTATATGTGTTATTTCAATATTTCTAAACACTTTTGGAAAGAAACGTTTGGAAATTAGACCTACTCTTGAAACGTTTGATTCTGACATTATAAACAATGATTTAAATTTATATAGAATTCTGAAAGAGATTACTAAATTATAGTCCTAAGATATTGAATCATTTAACCTTAATAATTTTAAATCTGCTTTAGTCACAATAGAACTAAATCAAAATTCGAGATTTTTTACTTATAAAGAATAAATTATTGTTAAGCTTTTCACAAATGAACCTAAATAAACCAAAAAATTCTAGTAACGAGCGTTGAGTTACTCTACTAACTTTAGTTACTGGTTTTTCAACTCCAGAACGCTACTTACTGTAAATTAAACGTTTAAATAACAAACTTAAGATATGATGTTCATTTATAGCTTTCAAGCATATCCACAATTATACTTACAATATATTAATTTCCAATCATACATAATATAAAAAACAAATTAAACGCCTTTAGTATGTTTTTACTGCACAAAAACAAGGTTTGTTTGGAACACTAAATAAAGATTTTCTTGGATTGTTTTTCTACGTAGCATAAATGACTTATTAATATAAATATTCTTTAATTGTAGTAGCTTTCATTGACTTACGTAACGGAGACATCCCATATAATTAAAAAAGTTTGTTTGTAATTAAGCACAAAGCTACACGATGGGCT